TCATTAAGAAAATACACCATGATCAAGTAGGATTTGTTTCTGGAATGCAAGGATGATTCAATGTGAGGAAATCTATTAATGTAAAAACCATATTAGTAAATGTAAGAAGAATAATTATATATTATCCCAGTCAGGGAAAACGCTTTCTAAAATTCTTTAAATTTTATTTTATTAAACAGATTTTTTTGGAGACAGGGTCTCACTGTCGCCCAGGCTGGAGTGGTGCAATCACCACTTACTGTAGCCTCACCCTCCTGGGCTCAAGGATTCTTCTGCCTCGGCCTTCTAAGCAGCTAGGACTCCAGGCGTGTATCACTCTATCTGGCTAATACTTTTATTTTTTAGAAATCTTGCCCAGATTGGTTTTAGAGTCCTAGTCTCAAGCGATTCTCCTGCCTCAGCCTCCTGAAGTGCTGGGATTGCAGGCATGAGCCACCACACTTGGCCTCCCCAACCCCCAAAAAAAGGCTTTTAACAAAACTCAATTCCTATTCCTAATAAAAACATGAAGAAAATAGAAATGGGTGCATATTTTCTATACTTGATCTTAGCCATAGGGCCAAGAAATGATGATGCGTATTTTCCTATATTTTGATCCTAAGGATGTTTACTCTCTGCATCTATTGAATGTTGTTTTTAACCAACGCAATTAAAAAAGAAAAAAAATCAATTCATAGAAAAGGGAAAAGAACAAATAAAACTATTTACAGATGATATGGTTTACCCAGAGAACCCGAGAAAATCAATGATGGACTCACAGACCACAAAATAAACTTAATCTTTTAAAAACGCTGAAGATAATGTTAATTTTATTCAAATGTCAGAAAAGCTGTAACAATAGCACAAAGAACAGTTTTTTCTGGAACTATTTGAGAGTAAATTGTGAACAGAGCGCCATCACTCTTGAATAATGTGTAACCCTTCAAAGAAGGGCATTTTTCAGATAACCAATACACCAGAATCAAAATCAGGAAATTGTCATTGACACTACCATAAAATTCACAAACTGCATTCAGGCTAGTTAATTATCCCAGTAATAATCTAAGAACATGTGTTATATTTAGCGTTTCTGAGTCTTTAGTTGTTTTTTTCAGTCTGGAAGAGCTCAGTGTGGGTGGCCTCTCACAGGCTAATTTATCCTCAGAGCAAGGGGTAATGGAACAGACAAACAGAGTGACCACAGTAAAAACCCATATAAAATGAATAATTGCTTGAGTATGTAGAGAAATCTGGAAGTGATGCTATACTTTTATCTTATTTTTACTCAAAAAATTTTGAAGCACACTATAAAATAGGAATATGTTAAATGATGAATATTCATTCTGCTGAATTCTTCCTAGACAGAATGTTCACAAGAAAAAAAATTGTCTTATTTCCGAAATGGTTCTCCTAAATTAGATTTCGCAGTATATCTAGTCTTAGATCAGCATATGCTCAGCTCGAACTGGTCTTCAAGAAAATCTCAGAGTCTGTTCTTAGATTACATTTTAAACAGAGACACTGAGAACACAACTCTCCTCGTTTTGTTAGGTATTACTTCTAAGCAAGTTTTAAAAGATATTCTAATCTGACTCTGCCTGAAAATCCTGCCCAGATTATCATGAATTCTTTGGGCTGTGGTTCAAATTCCTCTACATGTAAAGCCTACAAGCAGTTTTCCTAGTTATATTTTTATGGTGATCGGATCACTGGCTTTCACCCATACTGACTGTCTGAAGGTTTCTGAACGTGTAGTAGGTATAGAAGTCACTTCCATGCTGTGCTTATTGGATGAATTTCTGAAACACCCACACAGATAGGTTACTGGATTTGCTATCATTCTTGTGGAGCTGCTTTTCTGAAAACAGATTGGAAAGGGAAAGAGGGAATTGTGGGTAGGGTCAAATTCCTCTTCTAGGTTGCCAGAGGCAAGAGCATACTGAGGAACTTCTTAAACATACAGACTCCTGGCTAGGAGTGGTAGCACGTGCCTGTAGTCCCAGCTGCTCAGGAGGTAAAGGCGGGAAGATCACTTGTGCCCATGAGTTTGAGACCAGCCTGGGCAACATAGTTAGACCCTGTCTCTAAAACAAACGTGCAAACAAACAAATGAATAAAAACAAAAATGCAGGTACCTTAACCTCACTCCAGACTTTTTGAATCAGAATCTGTATTGGTAGGTTCAGTTATGTGTTTTTTTTTTGTTGTTGTTGCTGTTATTTATTTATTTTTGTTTTTGAGACGGAGTTTCGCTCTTGTTACCCAGGCTGGAGTGCAATGGTGCGATCTCGGCTCACCACAACCTCTGCCTCCTGGGTTCAGGCAATTCTCCTGCCTCAGCCTCCTGAGTAGCTGGGATTACAGGCACGCACCACTGTGCCCAACTAATTTTTTGTATATTTAGTAGAGATGGGGTTTCACCATGTTGACCAGGATGGTCTCGATCTCCTGACCTCATTATCCACCTGCCTCGGCCTCCCAAAGTGCTGGGATTACAGGCGTGAGCCACCGCGCCCGGCCTATTGCTGTTATTTTTGAGAGTCTCCCTTTGTCATTCAGGCTGGAGTGCAGTGGGACGATCTCAGCTTACTGCAAGCTCCACCTCCTGGTTCAAGAGATTCTTGTGCCGCAGCTTCCTGAGTAGTTGAGATTACAGGAGTGTTTCATCACGCCAGACTAATTTTTGTATTTGTAATAGAGACGAGATTTTGCCATGTTGACCAGGCTGGTCTTGAACTCCTGGCTTCAAGTATTGTGACCGCGTTGGCCTTCTGAAGTCCCGAAATTACAGGTGTGAGCTACTGCACCTGGCCAGGTTTGGTAATGAGTGTTTCTAAGAAGATTCCCAGGAGAGTCTTCTGCAGTAAGCTTGACACATACTTCGACTAGCTTTGAGAACTTGTGTTCCACAGAATGTCAGTTTAACAGAATAATCCCATAAACAACCAAGAGGAGTTTTGGAAATGATGCACTCTATAGCCCCTCCTTAGCCATCCATGGGACATATTAGTATGTGCATTTAGTATAGACTCTAAGGAAATATCTACTTAATTTTGTTTCATCCAGCATTTTCAAATTTATTTGAGTATACCACACACTTTTGTTGAGTCAACACATACTACTGTGCACCCCAACGAGCATGACTTTCAGAGACATTGACACAGAGCACGGTCCTCTCCGTGCCTCTCCTTCTTTTTTTAACAGACCAGCAACTGTCTGATGTCAGTCAGCTCAGCAGCGGACGTAACTTCACACTTTCGTAAGGAATATTGGACAGGTCGCTAAGAACTTCGTGCCTAGCGTTATTCTCCAGCTCTTCCTCGGTTCCTTCCTAAACGTTAGATAGTTTTTAAAAACTGTTAACAGTTATGAAAACTGATGCGCACTGATTTCTTACTCTGTACAGACTGTTTTCTAAGTATGTGGCAGGCATATCACTTAAGACACAGCCCTCTGAGGTAGTCTCATTACTGTAACAATGTTATAACAGGATACTGAGGTACAGAGATATTAAACAACTTGACCTAAGAGAACGCATAGTAGGTGGTGAAGCAGGTATAGACATTAAATCCAGGTTCTCAGGTTCAAAGCCAATAATATTAACCACTTCATTATTCTACCTGAATAGTAGATTTGATATGGTTTGGCTCTGTGTCCCACCTAAATCTCATCTTAAATTGTCATCCCCACATGTCAAGGGAGGGACCTGGTGGAAGGTGATTGTATCACGAGAGTGGTTTCCCCCATGCTGTTCTCCTGAGAGCGAGTGAGTTTTCACAAGATCTGATGGTTTAAAAGTGTTTGGCAGGCTGGGCGCGGTGGCTCAAGCCTGTAATTCCAGCACTTTGGGAGGCAGAGGCGGGTGGATCACGAGGTCAAGAGATCGAGACCATCCTGGTCAACATGGTGAAACCCCATCTCTACTAAAAATACAAAAACTTAGCTGGGTATGTTGGTGCACACCTGTAGTCCCAGCTACTCAGGAGGCTGAGGCAGGAGAATTGCCTGAACCCAGGAGGCGGAGGTTGCGGTGAGCCAAGATCACGCCATTGCACTCCAGCCTGGGTAACAAGAGCGAAACTCAGTCTCAAAAAAAAAAAAAAAGTGTTTGGCAGTCCTCTTCACCTCCTATTGCCATGTAAGACATGCCTTGCTTCCCCTTCACTTTCTGCCATGATTATAAGGTCCCTGAGGCCTCCTCAGCCAAATGGAACTGTGAGTCAATTAAATATTTTTCCTTTATAAATTGCCCAGTCTCCAGTTGTTCTTTACAGTGTGTGAAAATGGACTAATTCGAGATTCTTTGGCAATCTCATTCAAAACTAAAGCTTCCCTTGTCCATGGCTTCCCAAGCCCTGTTCCTAACGCTTGCTATCTCTTCTGAGCTAAGATCAACACCCCTAACTGCTTGATAGACGTCAGTGAGGAGGTATAACTGGATTCTCAAACTCAGCATGTCTCTGTAGAATCTCATCCTCCCTTTCCAATCTTACCCTTCCTTTGGTTTTCTCTCTTTCCAGCGTTCATGAATTTCTTCATATGACAACTGTGAGCTCTTACCATGCATTTGGCACTGTGCTCTGTTGGGAAGTTAAAGGCCAACAGGACTTCTTATTCCTGAATCCTGTTTGCCTCATAACTTCAGTGAACACATGCTTTGTCATGGCCACTTTCTTCTGCTCCTGCATTCTGTCCTTCCAGATTAGTCTCCAGCAGCTGTTTTATTCTCTAAGTTATTCTTAAGTCAGATCACTTGAAAAAGAATTTGGTTGTTCGATTGTCTTTCCCTGAAAGGTCACTGGCATGTCCGTAGGTGCAGGAAGAGTGTATTCCAAAAATGGCCCCACTGACTCACGTGCTCATCCTACCCTGTGACACTGGCAGCCCTCCATCATGAGGTGGGGTCTACATTTCTCCCCTGGGATCTGGATGGGCCTATCAGTACTAGTGGAAGTGATGCTGGGCTATGTGCTTTTCAAAGCTAAGCTCTAAAGGCAAACAGCTTCTTCCTTGCCCTTCAGTGAACCTAGACCCTGAGTCAGGAGGAAGAGGAAAGACTACATGGGGTCACTATCTAAGGTGTTCTTGGTGACAGCCCCTGCTGATGACCCAGCTGACAGCCAGCACCAACCTCCAGACAAGTGAGTAAGATTTCAGGTGAGTCCCAGTCCTAGCCTTTGCGGGTCGTCAGCTGATGCTGAGTGAAGAAGAGACAAGATGTTCTCTCTGAGCCTTACCTAGATTGTAGTGTTGGAGCAGCATAAGTACTGTCATTGCTTTAGGCCACTGAATTTTGGGGTGTGTGTTACACTGCAGTCGACGATGAGAACCAGTGCCTACCTCTGCACCAGCTTTCAGAGGGGCAGAGTCCTAAAGTACAGCTACCTAGAAGGAGCTGCTGCTGGGGAAGCAGGCACCATTATTAAATGTCAACTGTGTGCCATCCTTTTCACATTTTTACTCCTCTCTAGCACTTAATAAAGTACTTTGCCTGTAGTATATATTGAATAAATATTTGCTAAATTGAGTTGAAATATGGCGTGATAGTTAAGTACGTGACCTTAGCAGTCGGATACTATACAAACCAGAGCTCTAAATGCTGCAGCTGTGTGATAGGAAGCAAGTGTCCTCCCCAGTCCATCAGTGTCTATATTTTTATGGTAATAAAACTACAACACTCTGAAATTGATGTAAGAATTGAATGTTTAACGCATGTGCAAGTGCCTAAGAATGTGAGACTCATGGTAAATCTCTCTCTCTCATTCTCTCTTAAATTTTAGGGCAAAATGAGGATTGTAGCCTGATTGTGAGGGATCTTGAATGCATAGTTAAGGTTCATTTTTTTAGGCCTTAGGGACCAAGGGAAAATTACAGAGGTGTGATATGCGTAAGGCAGAGTTTGAGATTACGATGGCAATAATGTGTAGAAAGGATATATAAAAACCAGAGCTGAAGTGTCTAAGAATGTTAGGGTTTAAAAAAGACTTAAAAATGTAGCCAGGGGGGTATCAGGTCGGCAGCAAATGGCAAGATAATATTACCAGGGAAATTTCCATAGATTTTCATGGACTGGGGTTGAGTCTACCTCGGAAAAAGTTAAACTAAGAAAAGCGAAGTCCAAAATTGGTTTCAGTAATTTCGTGGCATTTATTAAGAATTGTTCACACAGGATGCCCTATGATTCCACAATTCACCTCTAAAAGTCTATCTTATAAAGAAATGAGGGCAAGACTGCTTGAAGTCGTATATCAGAGATATGTACCGCAGCCTCGTTGGTGATAACAGTGTTGAAAACCTGTAATGTCATCAGTGAGGTCACGGTGAAGTAGACTGCTGTGTGTTCATGCAATCAGGTAACCTAAGAATGAGATAGGGCCGGGCGCGGTGGCTCACGCCTGTGATCCCAGCACTTTGGGAGGCCGAGGCGGGCGGATCACAAGGTCAAGAAATCGAGACCATCCTGGTCAACATGGTGAAACCCCGTCTCTACTAAAAATACAAAAAATTAGCTGGGCATGGTGGCGCATGCCTGTAATCCCAGCTACTCGGGAGGCTGAGGCAGGAGAATTGCCTGAACCCAGGAGGCGGAGGTTGCGGTGAGCTGAGATGGCACCATTGCACTCCAGCCTGGGTAACAAGAGCGAAACTCCATCTCAAAAAAAAAAAAAAAAAAAAAAAAGAATGAGATAAATCTATATAAACTGACCTGAAGAAGTTGTAGGCAAAAAGAGCAAGTTGTAAAGCTATACGTGTACACACGCGGACACACACACGCGGACACACACACGCGGACACACACACGCGGACACACACACGCGGACACACACACGCGGACACACACACGCACACATACACATCAGATGGCTCTGTATATAATGCCATTTGATTTTTGTTAACAGGAAAAAGCTGAAGTGTCAGAAAAGAACATCACTGAAGGATGTGCGAGTGGAGTGGGTCTTACAAGATTTACTTTGATTAATTGGTACAGTTTTGCCTTTCAGTGTTTTTTTTTTATAAAAACATAAGAACATACTATATTTGCAAATCTCATACCATTACAAGCAAACGGTGCCGTTAACAGAAGCGGTAAAGTTGAAAGATTGTTGGATTCCAGAGAAAGTAGCTGAGTAGATAGAGATTAGCTTGCAGAAAGAAAAAAAAGATGCAGATTCACTTGTATCTGGCATGAAGGGGTGCTGTACCAAGGGGTGGATTGTGGTGAGAGTTGTGGTAGTTGTTGGCAGCAGTCAAGGGTGTGTCTGGGCAGGCTTTCCGGGTTGCGGTTCTTGTAGGGCTCAGACAAGCTGTGGTCGATATGACTAGAGCTTGCTGCTAAGACTAGAGGGTCACAGGCAAAATTCATGATCCAGTGTCAGGGGAAGCAGCACCACAGATCATTTTTAAAGCTGCTGTCCTTGGACTGGAGAAAATAATTCTCTATGACACAGCCGTGTTCACCTAAAGGCTGGCTGGGGAAAACGATCTCACTGACCGATAATTAACTCCGGATCCAACATAAGAGGAGGGTCAGAAGATAGTACAACATCCTCAGTATGAAACGGATCTTCATTAATTTGCCTACCCCCACATTAAACTTATTTACATTTTCAAGTTGGTATGTATCCATATCTATATCATCTGTCTAGATACATACAGATAGATATCCCTGTCTACCTCTTCTCGTATGAAACAATTAGCATTTATTCACATTTGGTCTTGAACAATACTATGTATTGAGACATATTAAATATAAGGTAAGCCCATTATAAAAATGGATCCCACATGGGGGATTACAGTGGTATGCGGTAGGGCCAGTGTTTTATTACAGAATTACTGATTGCTTCTCCAGGTGGGTTAAATTGATGACTCTAAGGACATTTTTGCAAACTCCCTTCTTCTAGCTTACTGTCTCTACAAATGTGCTCATGGGAAGACCCACTTTCTCTTCGTGACTTTAAAATGCTTCGAGCAAAGAAACACTTGGATGTTTTATTAAATAAACGTTATCTCCAAAGCCCAATGATGAATTTTTTTAATACATGAAAGTCTCTTTTTAAATCCTTTTCAATATTTCATACACATTGTATTAGATAAGTATAAATAATATATTTGAAAATTTTAAAACATGCATATGCAAAGTGATTTGAAAAGTCCCTAAAATATTTATGATTTTACTGTCTACAATTTTCTTTTATTTATCCTGTCTCCTGTAGATTCTATTAGATATAGGTAGGGATTTTTAAAAAGTGTCATGCCTTTCTCCCTTCCTTTCTTTCTTTCTCTTTTTTCTTTTATTCTTTTTTCTTTCTCTCTCTCCCTCCCTCCCTCCTTTCCTCTCTCCCTCTCTCCCTCCCTCCCTCCTTCTTTTCTTTCTTTCCCTCCCTCCCTCCTTCCCTTTCTTTCTTCCTTCCTTCTCTCTTTCCAAACCTAGAAGATAAGCTGTGGAAATAAAGTCAGTTGCCTAAGATCCCACCGCCTCTCATGCTCACAATGATATGCTTAGACTCTGAAATGTGTTGCCTGCTTCTGCCATGTTCCTTATTCATGATATTTCAGAACAAAGGATTTCTACATACCCGTGAAGCTACACATATCCTTTTTTTAAAAAAAATACTGTTATCAAGCCATATGATATCTCATAGCTTAATAGAAAAATATTCATGTAAGATAGAGAATGTTAGACTGCTTTAATTTTGTCAGTCTCTTTTATTTCTCAGCAGAAATTCCAGCCTCAGTTTCCCTGCTTATCAAGCAATATATGCTTCCAAGCAATTGAAAAGTAAAAATGGAAGTACTTTTAGAAATTACTTTATGCTCCTGCCACTAATCCGATAGAGACCTGGAAGCAGGAGGAATAAGAGAAGCTGGTTTTCTGGCAGTGAGGAACGATGCAGAGAACGTGGAGGGCTGCTCCAAATTTTAGTAGGTTTATATGCATCATTTAATATAGTTGGTGAGTGCATGGGTGAAACAAAATTACAGATTTCTCTTTAGTGGCTTGGCTAAGAAGTTGAAGTTGGGAGTAGACTCTGACTCTAAATCTTTTAGGAGTTGGATACATATCTAATTCCTAGTTTTTCTGTGTGTGTGTGTGCGTGTGTATGTGTGTGTTGGGGGAGGTTTGAATAGTTCTGTCAGTTTGGTGATAAGAAAATGTAAGGTGATATAAAATTTAAAAAAACAAAAAAAGGTATACTGAGTTTAAAATCGAGTGAAAAACTGGGTAGTCTTCTAGAACCTAGTTAAATAACACACAAAACAGACTTCTTAGAAATATCAATGTTAGGATATTTTTTTTTTAACCAAAGAATAATGGAAGAACCAGGAATCCAGGACGGGAGAATTGAGTGAGCAAGAGAAACAATCCACAGGATAGTTTGTTTTTCATTCGTAGTGATGGATTTGAACAGTCCATTCAACCCTTTCACCCGGTGCTTCTCTTACTAATTGCATGCCTTTGCGAGATGGGGCAATATGGGAGCGATGTGGGAAGACAAATGGCCCTTCAGAGGTTTCCATGATCGTTTAGAATTGGTGTGTTGGCTCTACTGAATGCTGTTGATAGAACGGAAATGTCTAAAACTCTGAGTGAACAGTCAATTAGCTACTCAGAAAAATATCCAGAAATTAGGAAAAACATCGTAAGCATTTGTATTTGTTCCTTTTCATCTCACGAGCGACTCTATTCCCTTTTATCTAACAGAGAAGGTCCAGTTGGTTTGGCTGGTTGGCTAACACCACACACCCACTGTGAGGTCTTCATATTTATGCTGTACGGCGTGCAGCATTTGGCAGGGACTCCGCAGAGACTTTCCAGGTTTCAGGATATTGATTGAGTCAAGTGGAAGGTATAATGCTTCTTTTTCTTTGTTTGTTTGTTTTGTTTTGTTTTGGGGACAGATCTCACTCTGTCCCCCAGGCTGGAGTGCTGTGGCGCAATCTTGGCTCACTGCAACCTCTGCCTCCAGCGCTCAAGCGGTTCTTCCACATTCCCCTCCTGAGCAACTGTAACCACGGGCACATGCCACCACACCCAGCTAATTTTTGTAGAGACAGGGTCTCCCTCTGTTGCCCATCTGGTCTCAAACTCCTGGACTCAAGCGATCCGCCAGCCTCAACTTCCCAAAGTGCTGGGGTTACAGGCGTGAACCACTGTGCCTGGCCACTGTCTGTTAGAAACCAAAACTCTTTAAAAATCTTGATAAGATGTTTATTAAGTATGTCATTCAATATGTGTTCATAGATTACCTGAGCAGGGGAAATTAGGGGAAATCGAAAGATAATCCATTGACAGATAGACTGGGAGTAACTGTGATTCAGTTTCCCTGTCACTGGTGGGAAGCATCTCCAGCATCTCAATCAATCAGTGCACGGG